TCTCTCTCTCTCTCTCTCTCTCTCTCTCATTCAGCTCCGCTCCAATAATGAACTGTTCCAATTATACACTTATTTTCACATTAGCTGTGAGAAGCGTTAAACATGGGCGTGCAATTGCTGTACTGTATTAAAGCTTTAATCAGGATAAAAACCATATATTAAAAACTAACATAAGCAGTAGCATTTACAAATAACAGCATATCTAAAAGTATGAGACAACAACAAACAAAAAACATAGGCCTACCATTAAAAGCCGTGCTTGCACAGGTTCTGCACGATCCTCTTCAATAATATCCTCTGTTTCTCAATCGGGCTCAAACTGATAAGCGATATTAGCGACGCGTTGTTTACAATACAACCAGAGCGCATGCCGCTGAGGAGAGGGGCGGGACGTTTAGACGCGCACTAGAGGAGGTTTAGCCAATCACAACACACTGGGCTAGCTAACCAATCAGAGCCCATCACCTATTTCTGAGGGCGGGGCTAGCTAACCAATCAGAGCCCATCGCCTATTTCTGAGGGAGGGGCTTCATAAAATAAGGAAATGATCAGGGTGTTTCTCAGAGAAGGGACAGAGCGGTGTGGAATAAAGGTAAATTATGTGATATTAGACTGCACCCCATAAACACAATCAAGCCTAGAAAAAAAACAGTCAACCACCCCTTTAAGGTTTAGTCTTTATAAAATATCATTATTTTTTATATAAAAACTGTAGATGTCTGCAGGTGGATTTGTATGTGTGTGTGTGTGTGTTTGTGTGTCTGTTTAGATATATTCTGTTTGATTTAGAGTTGACACTTCAGTTATAGTGAGTAATGTTTCTTGTTTTCAACAATATATGAAATTTATGACCCTGTGACTGTGTGTGTCTTCCATATGCTCTCTGTCTTTATCTCACAAGCACATGTGCACACACACACACACACACACACCTCATTCTTTCCTTGCCCAGTTTGGGGTGTTGCGTCTGTTCATTTCATTTTTCCTCCTCTCTCACTTTTCTTAGTTCTGTTGGAGTCTGTGCTTGTTTTCCTCCTCTTTCTCTCAGTCTCTCCCTCTCTGTCCCATATGAGCAGAACCCTCTCAACACTCCTCAGCTGTGAAGATCTATTTGACAGCGCAATAATTATTCTCCACACTCTCTAAAGAACATGATGAGCATGAGTTTAGTCACTAGCTCTGTATGAGACTCTGGGAGTGAGCACTTCGGTTAGACTGTTTTCTACCTGACTGTCAGCCAATCAGAAGGCGGATCTGGTTGGCAGACTGACTTCTGGTTGGTTGGATTGGTGGTACAGATAGAATCATGCCCAGGTGGAGGAGTTTCAGACTACCCAAGAGAACCAGACCTGTGAGTACAAATGCTTCTGATGGAGTTTTGGATATGATTGGATTGGCTTGTACTTTTTTGTAAATGAGTTATGTATTAGTGGTAGTTTTTAAGGGAGAGTGTGGCTGTGTTGTCTATTTCAATATTGTTTGGAATAAAGCATAATTGTATGGTTTATTTATGTTTAAGCAACGTGTTTGTACATTGCCTCTCATATGTGTGTTACCAGTACAGAGTGTTAGTACAACACCCATTTGAATTGCCTCTTTTGAAAATGTATATACAAATAGCTCATCAGTTACACTGCTATAATATTAAAAAGTGTTTTAATCATGTTTTTTAGACAGTAGTGGCTATTTAATCAGCCGAACCAGTACCATCACCCTCTGATTTAACAAGTACTCTGTGTTTTCCCCATAGTCATTCTCAAATGATTTCAAGTGTCTCTGCTAACATTTGCACTTTAAATGTAGGAGTCTACTTGTGTGTTTGTGTGTGTGAGTGTTTTCTGTCCCCATAAGCATGAGCTCACATTTGGACTGTGCTTTTGGGTTGCTCGGAAGGGAGTGGCTGTTCATATTCTACTCCATGTGTTTGTGTGTGTTTAGTTAGTCAGATTTATATA